ACAGGGTGGTCGTAACTATTAGTCAGGATGTCTGCTGACCATCAGCATGTGACAGTGAGCCACTAACCTTTGTTCTTTTTTTCTGTGAATCCACACGTTAAACGCCCCCTTAACCCCCTATAAAACAACCTCGGACTCCGAGCCAGTTGCCTCTCTGAGCTATTTTGCTTCGGGAGTGCCGTCTGGCCAGACTAATAAAGGTCTGTTTTCCCAACATGGCCGGTGTGTTCCTTCCCGGGTGGTCCTCGCTGTAGTCAGCTCCTTGGAGCATTTGGTAAGGCCTTGGTCTTACATTCTGGAGGCACCGCTGGGATCCCCAGGTGTGCTCCACTTCAGCTCCTTGGAGCATTTGGTAAGGCCCTTGGTCTTACATTCTGGAGGCACCGCTGGGATCCCTGGTTGTGTTCCACTACAGTCAGCTCCTTGGAGCATTTGGTAAGGCCCTTGGTCTTACATTCTGGAGGCACCGCTGGGATCCCTGGGTGTGCTTCACTGTAGTCAGCTCCTCGGAGCGTTTGGTAAGGCCCTCGGTCTTACAGCTCTTCTTCAGGGGCCACCACTCCTACATGCTGGTCCTGACCCAGGGGATACTCCCTGGCCTCATCCTCTCTGAGCTGCCTGCAGCACTGAACGGGGCTGAGCACCCTTTTCTCAGAATACCAGCTTCACCTGACTGTTGCCCCGGGCCTTCCTAGTTTCCTGCTGCTCCCATGCCTCCTCTTTCCTAGTTTGCTTTGCTGGCTTTTTTCTCCCCCCCCCAGGCGACACGGCAGTGTCAGAGTTCTGGGTCTGGACATTCTCTTATCTCCATCACCCTGTGGGGATCCAACCTGGCCCACTGACTTTCTATACCATGCATCCTCTGATGCATCTGATTTTACCTCCAGCTCGGCCCTCACCTTGAACCCGAACTCAGAAACCCACCTGCCAGCACAGCACCCCGGAGCGCCCCTGCAGCAGACACCGCATGTCTCTAATGTCCAGGGAGCTCCTCCTCTCCCCTCCTATCTCAGGAACGGCCCCTCTCCTCTTCCGGTTGTCAGACCAGAACTTTTGGGAGTCACCTTTGACTCCCTCACTGCCTTCACACCACTGTCACCTGCTCAGCGAAATCTTCTCGTGTCCTCCTATGTAAAGTGTGTACCTTTCATCTGACTCTTCTTTCTCTTTTGTTTTTCAAAAATTCCTCCTTCGCACCTTTACCGCTGACGTGCTTCCCGAGGGCAGGCCTTGTGCGCCCAGTGCTGAGCCGGCCTGCAGCTGGAGGCAGCTCGGTGGGTGTTTGCTGGATGAGGTGATGGTTAAACCCTGCAGGGTGCCGTGCAGTTGGCAGCAAAGGGGGAAAGAGCACTTTCAGGACAGGGAACAGTGACGGGGTGCCAGGGAGTCAGGAGGACCAGTGTGGTGGGGAAACAGGAGTGCGTGGAGCATGGGGTAGTGGCAGTGTGGCAGGAGGGGAGGCCCGGAGGTGGGCAGGGTCAGGCTACAGTGCACGTGTGTGTGTGTGTGTGCACGCAGGCGCGCGCGTCTGAGGACAGGTGTGTGGCACTCGTGGGGAGGAAGCCGCAGTGGGCCGGGCCTCCCCTTGTTCTCCCGAGCGGTTGCTGTGGGGCAGAACGACAGCGCGCGGCTCCGGGCACCTGAGCTAATGCAGGACCTAGGCTCCCTGGGTCTTCGAAGACCACTGTCCTATAGCAAGAGTGCAGCGACACGGAAGGCAAAAGCCGAGGAACTGAGAAGCCAAGAGGCCCATCTTCCCTTGAACTGACTACTAGCTGGTACTGGAGACTGAACCCAGGGCCTTGCACTGAGCTACATCCGCAGCCCTTTAGTTTTTATTTTGAGGCCAGATCTCATGATATCCACTAAGGTGCCCAGCTGGGCTTGCAGTTCTCCTGCCTCCGCCTCTCACAGTGCTGGGACTTCCGGCATGCACCACCGCGACTGGCCAGGAAGTTCTTTTCTAAGTCACTGCTCAGTGGGGTGGGAGCTTGCCACTGCTCAGAGGATGGCAGTGTCCTCCCCGGGAGATGAGACAGTTGCCAAGTCTGCGGTGGGGAGGCACAGGCCTGGCTCGGCGTGAGCGCCTGCTGCCCCTGCTTGCCATGGGCAGAACCCGTGGCTGCTAAGATGCCAGTCTGGAGCCAGCCTCTGCCCAGGCCGGGCAGGGCTCCACACAGGGGCTCTGCGGCTCCTGTCAGAGCAAGGCGAAGGGTACAGCTTTCACCCAGCCACACTGCAAGGACACAGCTGTTTCCCTTCGGCTCTGACCTGCCCTTTTCCTTTCGGGTTAATCTGAATACTAAAAATAATTTGTAGTTAATATATCCTGGGCAAACGCATTGTTTTCTTGTAAATTTGCAAAATCTTCAAATGAAAAGACAACAGCCAGGCTCATTTTCTTTGGGAAACGTCTAGCATTGCTGAGGTAAAAGGCAGCATAAATATGTCCTTTAGTAAGAGGTGCAGTCACAAAAGCACCAAGCTGGGGTAATAAACGGCTTTGGAGATTATTATTGTGTTCTGGGAACGAATCGCTACTTGTCTGAACTATGGGGAGGTCGAGGGTATTCTTAATTTAATGGATTAATCATTTATGTCTCAAGTTCCTGCTCCTCCTAGGAAAGCAATGTGGGAGCTTGCACAAAGTTATAAATCATGTCAGGTTCGGGCCTCATCTCCGGGAGGCCTGGGCTATGGGCAAGTTATACTAATAATGTGAGAGAAGCAGCAGCTGCCTGAAAGGGTTCCCCTTGGGCCACCAGGTCACTGAAGAGAAGCTCCCAGAGGACGGTGGCCCAGGCTATGCCAGGGGTGCTACCTGGATCCTCTCACCATCGGTGTCTACCAACTACAGCTAATACGGCTTGAGATAAAGCCCCACATATCCGGGCTGGCCCACCTTGGACTCGGCATCTCATGCCAGGCATTTCCCACTCATTTTATGCATATCATTTGTCATTGGGCCCAAAGGCAAGAGATACCATTGTTGGTCCCATTTCACAAGTGCATGTGCCTACTTGTTTAAGACTTTTTGCTAAGAAAGCAGCAGCCCAGCTCTAGGCCTGGAAGGGCTCAGGGTTCGTGTCTTCAGCCTCTGTCAGCGGGGCTGCCAGCTCGAGTCTGCTCGTTGTCTCGGGGAAAACGGCCCGGGGCCTGCTCCTGCCCACACAGCTGGCCTGGCTCCTCTCTTTTCCTTATCAGCCTCCCATTCCTGTCTTCCTTCTGACGAAGGAGAAAAGCTAGAGTTCGGGGCACACAGCAGTGCTGTCTGCTCAGCCTCAACTCAGCAAGCCAGACGATCTGCTGGGTCAGAGGAGACCAAACTGGACTCCAACCGCACAGCAGGGCACCTGGACTGAAGTTCACCTGAGCTGCTCAAGTGCATCCTTTGTGCTCTCGACTCAGGCCTGAAGTGGAGGTGTAAAGGCGCATCTCATGCTGCCCTCTTTCTCCTCCCCACAACACTTCCTGGCAAGACAATGAGCCTTCCATCCTGAGCACTGCCAGGGCCGCTCCTCCCCCAGCTTGCCCTGCCTCCAGGCTTCCTTCTCTGGCACTAGGCTGTGGCCTTTGGTTCTTGCAAAGCGGGGTCAGCATGGGGAGGTCCTGGCGTATCTGCGATTGCACTTTCCCAGGCTTGTCTGTGGACCTGAGCCACCTGGAGCAAAACATACGCAGTTGTTTTGCAACCAGACATGCAGAGCATCATCAGCCTCTGGTCCCCAGCTGTCCCTAGACCAGCCCTGTGGGAAGAGTTGCGGACATTGCCTGCCGGCTGCACGGTAGCCTCGCCCCTGAATCCCAGGCTGGTTGGCTCACCCAGGGTGTCATAACTAGGAGCCCTTGGGTTACATCTGGCACAATGCAGATTCCTCATCAAAGGCCAACAAACATAGCCATAGCTTTAATGCCTCCTTACGCAGAATCCCAGAGTCAGCGGAGAGGAACTGCTGATGTAATAATTCTCAACACCTTGCTCATGTTATTGTGGGCTCAGCAGCCATGGCTCAAAGGATTTGGGGCTGACTTGTGCTTCCACATTATTCCCTAGTGCAGGCGCACCCTGCTCAGGCCTGCGGGGTGACAGGAGGGATGGGTTTGGCTGGACAATGCTAATGCCCCTGGGTGCTGATCTTCTGTAGAACTGTGGGCAGACATGGCTTGTTAGGGTGGCTGGAGTGGCCAGGCTAGAGACCACAGCAGCTCCCACACTATGTTGTCTGTGGGGTACACTCCACACTGCAGGCGTTTGTTGGGGCCTCAGCAGCTTGGCCTGACTTGTCTGCATCCCTCAGCACCCTGGCCCTCGGGTTCATCACCCGAGGAGGTTTTGCGTAAAGTCTCACGTGACGACTAGTCAACAGGCCCAGCCTTTCCCAGCCACTTATAAGAGATGGGATATTTTGGACTCAGAGATTTCTTTAGGATGACAGAACACAGGCAGGGGGTTGCTCTGAGCAGCACTGGGGGATCTCGCGGAGACATGCGCGGAGCCATTTACTAACCATTCACCTGCAGGACGTGGGTCTGGAACAGCTGCTCATGGCCGGCGGCGTGGCAGGTGTAGTTGCCCATGTGGACGGTGGTCACCTTGCTGATGTACAGGGAGTCCTCCTCCCCGAAGTCCTGCACGGGCAAAGAGGACAGTGAGAATGGCCTTTCAGCCCAGTAGGCATCTCTGGCTTTTCCAGGAAAAAGGAAATCTTATAGCTACAGGCGAGAGGCTTCCGGCCGCCCCCTGGCCCAGCCAGAGCAGCCTGCGGGGTCCCCTCTCCTCCACACTGTGGGGGCCCCGGCCCTGTAGCCCACTTACGGTCTTGCTCACCTGGCATCCCCATCTCCCTCCCTCCAGCTTTCACTAGAACAGCCCCTGGGCCCCTTCCACTCGCTGCCTGCGCTTCCCAGGGATCTGCCCACCTGGTGGGGAGCTCGGATGCTGGGAGGCGCCCGTGTCCAGCAGGGGTCAGCAGACTTTAGTAAAGCTCTCCATGCTAAGTATTTATCAGTGAGTCTGATGACTTCTATTACTCAATTCCATCCTGACAGCATTAAACAGCCATAATGACAAGTGAATTACTAAGTGTGGCTGCATTCATGATGTTTTATTAAAGGCAGTGAGCTGGAAACCACAGGCTGCAGTTTGCCTGTCCATGGTTGATCCCTCCTGGATCCCCAAATTCTTCTAGGTAGCTTGCAGGGATCTGAGTAACCCAGGGGAAGGGGAAGAAGAATATGCAGCAAACCAGAAAATCAAGGGAGGGACATAAAAGGGAGCCAGAGGGCAAAAGCCCAGGGGTCTGTGCAGCCTCACAGGCGGATCTCATTGTGCCTGGGCCCAGGGAGGGCACACGGGGGCTGCTGGCTGTGTCGGAGTCCCCAGCGCAGCACAGGAGCAGAGCAGCAGACTGCCCCGCCAGCTGTGCTCTCGCAGAACGGGGTACAGTGCTGGCCCTTCCTTCCAGGTGCCAACTGCAGATGTGTCAGGGTTGGAGCTGCCTGGAATTCCATGGAGATCCCCGACCAGGTTCGGGTTTAGTTTCCAGACGTCTTCCTTGCAGCTGTGGGACAGAGGCTGGTGGGTGAGAAAATGGGCTGTGTGCTGCTGTCTTTGAGGAAGGATGTGGAAGCCTAGCGGCCGGCTCCAGGAGACCCACGGTGTGGCTTGAGATCCGCTATTGGCCCCCAAGACCCTCTGGGCGCTGGTTTCCCACCTGCCCATTGGGACACTATGTGTTCCATCTGCCTGACGGGGGTTCGGTGAACACTTTCCCATGACATTTTTGGGGGATGTTATTCTTCCTGTTATTAAATGAAAACACAAAACTCCTCTTGAGCCCTCGTGCAGATGCCATCCTGCCTGCCTTCCCCCTGCCCAGCTGGGCTTCCTCTTCCACAGAAACACTTCGGGGGCAGGGGAGGAAGGCTCCAGCCATGGTGTGCAGGCTCTGCCCCCTGAATCTATGGTATTCACACCCCAGAGGTCCAGCCACGACCACCAGGAGTCTCTGAATTGCTTTCTGGGTAATTAGCTCACACAGGGGGTGAGAGAGGCACAGGGCAGGGCGGAGGCAGGAGGGTCACTAACGATACACGTGGCTGGCTCAGCCTCAGGAACAACGCCCCCGCAGTGCTGGAGGGGGTTGACTGAAACCTCGCTCTGCCTGAGAGCCCCATTTCTGCCATTCGGTGGAAACCTCAATAATGAAAATAAGACAGCAGATAGCTGATTTGTCCTGTGTCATAACAAAGCCATAAAGGTTTATCCCTGAGCTGCTTATGAAAGTTAATGGCTAGTCAATGCTGGGATGACATATTTCTAGTCTAAGTGGTTTCCTGCATCAAAATCCGAGTCTGGAGGAAAATATGTTTTGCAGGAGTCTGTGCAGCGGGAGGCCAGGCATCCTGAGAGGGCTGGGGTTGGGTGCAGTCCCCCCTTTGGATCAGGGGCTTGCAAACTAATTGGTGCCCACGTGTTGGGAGTCAGGGCAGACTCTGTCCCCAACGGCAGCGCCAGAGCTTCCGGCAGGGAGCCCAGCGCTGAGCTCCTGGTGTTTTCCCTCAACACTGTCTTCCTGAGTCTTCTTCACACCCATGGACTCTCACTGAAGCCAACCTCAGGCCCCCTTGCTCTCATCCCTACTCGATGGGGTTGCTGGACACGCGTGGACCCCACTTCCTCAGACTGCAAGTGGCCGAGCCCAGGCGGCTGCCCCGAGTCTGAAGCTCCTATGATCACCCGAGAGTGGTACCCTGTTAGCAGCCACACACAAGAGGTTAATCAAGAGCCAGAACTTGGTATAATATCTGCGGGTTCTGCATCCGCAGATTGAAGCAGCCACAGACGGAAAATATTCAGGAAAAAGAAAATGTCTGAGCTAGGGGTGCTGGCCCTTGAGTTGGGTGTGTGGGAGCTCATTCGTAATCCCAGCACGCAGGGAGGTTGCCGTAGGGAGTTGGCAAATTCAATCCCAGCGGGGGCAACTTAGCGGGATCCAGCCTCAAAGTAAAAAATAAAAAAGGGTGGGGATGGAGCTCAGTGTGAAGGCCCTGGGTTCAATGCCTAGTTAAAAAAAAAAAGAAAGAAAAGTCTGCATAGACTTTTCTCTTGTCGATGCTCCCTGAGGAGTACAGTGTAACAACTGTTTCCATACCATTTGCACTGTGTCAGGTAGCGTAAGTCATCTAGAGATGATGTGAAACACACAGGGGATGCTGGAGGTTATAGGCAACCCACACCGTTTACACAGAGCATCGGAGCAGCTGTGGATTTTGGCATCCCCTGGAGTCCGAACCCATCCCTCCAAGATATCAAGGCGGGGCTGACTGTGTATCACCTCCTTTAATCCCCGGGGAAACCCCTGAAAACCCCAGACCAACAGCAAAACAAAACCCCAGTCCCTGCAAGGCGAGTCAGCAGGGCACTCCCTGAGAACATATTCCAGTTTGATTTCTCTGAACCACACCCCCTGTGTTCACCTTGGGCACAGCCACTGTCTTCCCATGGTGGGGGGGTGTCACACACCCCCACCGCTGCCCTCCTCAGTCTCCTCCCCAAATAGCCCAGCATGGTCCTTTCCAAGCTGGTACTGTTTCCTTGTGCAGCCTGTCCTCAGGCCCTGAGCCACGGAGGGCCCCTGGTCAATTGCAGCAGGTGCTGGGAGGTGCCACCCTGTGGTCCCAAGGCAGGGCCTCCTGCCTGCTGCCCTTCCAACCCAAGCCTGCCCATCCGTCTTGCCCGACTCACTGTCCTTCAAGCGTGCTCAGTCTTAGCTGGCCCACACTCTTCACGGCGCTCACTGCCGCTCAGCACAGTGCTGGGGATTTACCTCCTGCACTGTCTGTCTCCCCGAGGCAGCTGAGCCCCATGGAGGAACAGGGCACTGCTCGGGCTCTGTGTTCAGTGCTGTCCCTGGGGCCAGCACAGTGCCTGGCACACAGTGGCTCTCAGTGAATACTGTTCAGTGAACAGTAGGCTCCAGTTCTTCGGTTTAAGGACGGAGGTGCCCGTCTCCTGCCTTCCCATTCCCAAGGTGATTGGCCAGTCATGTGGAGTTAAAATGAAGTGGCCGCAGGGAAGGCAGGAGACTGGCCTCAAGCCTTGTCCCTGCTTCCTTGCCCTGTCTTGTTGGGCTCATGGTTCTTTGCATTCCTTGGGCCAGGGCCTCTGGAGTGGACCGAAGAGACTCTCAGCTCAGAGCAGCAGGAGAAGGGAAAATCAGCACCTACAACACAGTTCTCTGCTCCCTCCCTCTGCTTTGCCCGCCTGCCACGCAAGGGTCCTGCGGGCAGAGGTGTGTGTGCAGCTCTCCGGTGATCGGTGGACGGGGTGCATCAGCCCACGAGGACAGCAGGAGCTGCTGGCTGCATTATGGCTCTTCTGGAAGCACGGAGCTTGTTAGCAGCCTGTGGCGCAGGCTCTGGGGAGAACCTGCCTCTAATAAATAAAATAAAGCCTCTGGGCTAAAACAATAGGCATCATATAATTATAGAACAAAGCGCATATTGTTTTCTGGATATGAATATTGGCTAGAGAAATCAAATTTATCTCATTGGATGTGAATGACTTTAAAAATTGATTTATAAGAAGCTACATAAAACTGAATCTGCAATTCTTCCTCTTCTGAATGTTCTTTGAGAGGTGTCTGAATACTGCTATCAATGCTTGATTGCACCTCTGTAATTGTGTTTTTATGGATAGCTTTTTTTCCTCTGATGCATAGAAATGTATTAGGAAAATCAAGGTTCTTTCCAGAAATAAACAGATGCCAGATTAGACAAATTCTTTGTATTGATGCACATCCATTTTTGGGAAAGAGACAATTTTACTTAAAGACATGGCTTTCATCTTTTAAAATGCTATTTGCTAAGTATCTCCTCTTATTAAAGAAAGTAATTAAATGAGACATAACTATTAAACAATAGCTAAGCCAAGATGACATGGGGGATGCTGTCACAGTGACACATGAGAGTCAAGTATAAATCTATGAAAATGAGTCATCAATGCCACATACTTCATGACTCAGTGTTAGACACAAGGACTCCAGAGTGATACTAGAGTTTGGCTGGCAAGATTTTCAATGTTACAAGTTAACACTCCGAAACATTCATTCAGGTCTTTTCCAACTTTGCTCTTCCCAGGAGCACTCAGCTCTCTCTGGGGAGGAGGGAGTACAGGTGGGATCTCTCTGCCTGCTCCAGCTCTCTCCTGTCCCCTAGAAGGCCACTCACCCCAGCATCTCATCAGCACCACCCACTGAATGCCAGGGACCCCTGCACTGGGTGATCTGCAGAACGCTGTGGGGCTCAGGGACATCTGCATTCACATGAGCACACGTGCACTGTCCAGACCAAGCTGCAGTCACTCGCATGCGTGCCGAGCACACGGACACAGGCAGGGGATGTGAGGGTGACCATGTGTGAGCCAGCACGGACACACCAAACTCTGGCTCTCGCCTGCTGACCACCGGACCAACACTGGCCTTCCTGTGCTGTCCCCTTCTGCCCAGCCCTTCGGAGGACAGACTCACCATTATGCAAGGACACGGGGGCCAGTCCTGCCAGGAAGGGCTGCAGTGGATGTGTCTGCAGCTGGGTGGGCCTATCCTACCCCTCCCAGGCTCTGGCCC